AAACATATAGAACCCTTTGAATTATACATTTCTACTTTTACTTCGATACCATACAGTTTAATCCATTTACATTTGATTTTTATTTTCCTTTTAAAGAAAGTAAAAAGCTTAATTAAATTTTTATATTTTTTATTAATATTTTAAAAATTTTACAGTCAGTTACAAATTCCATCAGTTTTCAAAATTCTAAGCCCTTTCCGGTAACAATGATTTCGAGTCTATTTTGGTTTTTTTTCAACATAAGATTAAGAACATGGGATATATTTTATATAGCTTTAACCGTATATTGGCAAATGAAAAGAACAGTTCCTGACAAGGACATATGTGCGAAATTTGTTCCATTATATATGTGTTTGTTCCTCCTTGCAACAAAAGTAATTATCACAAAAGTTATAAATATGAGCTTTAATAAAATGAATAGATATTATACCCACGTGTCATTCCTGTGGAATTTGTTCCTATTCATCCTTAAAATATTAATCACAGAGGGATTTACTGAAATTGCTATAGCAACATATTGCTCGGAATGTATAACTGACGTTATAACATCCGATACGGAACACTATCTTTGGACTATGCTAGGATTAGATCAGAAATATCCAACAATTTTAGGATATGTCGTGTTAGTAACAATGGTATTATATGCTCTGTACTCATTTGATGCAATGAAAAAACAGATTAGAGAATTAATTTATGGGAGACAATGGGAAACTTGCGATTTGGAATTTACCCTGAATGAGTTACGTCGCCAGCTTCAACGAAGGCAACTCCAACCACATCGTGAAAATGAACATTCATCATAGGAACATTTCTATTAATATATTCATAAGTATAAAGGTAATATTATATATTAACTTCTATTAGATATATATCATTTTAAAATAATATGAAAATCTGTAACTATGTTTGGAATATTGTAGTATTGTGATGCTTAGAATATCATTTATAGATCTGTACTTATTTGATGGATTCAAAAGTTGAAGTAAAGATGATTAAAAGTGGAATGATTTCGATTTGGAATTTACCCTGAATGAGTCTCATCGCCAACTTGAACAAATAGAAAACCAACAACATCCTTATAATGGACATTTATCACAAGAACATCCCGAAAAGGTTATTCATAATTATCAAGGTAATATAACTTATTATTAATAACTATTATTTATAATATTAAATTCTAACAATTTCTAGAAATATGTGACTATGGAATATTACGAACTTTTATATTAATGCAATATACTTTTTATACAATCGACGCAATAAAAAAAATATAACAAATATCTTAACCTCTTTTATTTAGAAAAAATTAATTAGATTGTAAAATATCTTATGATTGTCGCTGGTGAAGTAATGATTTTTATATATACCAGCTACAAATCTGTAATATAAGACCCATAGTAATAAAATGGCCGCAGAACTAATTAGAAAGATATATTAAACTACTTGACCTCGAGCTATTTTGTACAGAAAATACATAGTTATCTTACATAGTCTTAGGTCGAGTTATGTCTGAGAAAAATATGAACAAAATGATATTGCAATGTTTATCAATAATCTAAAATAAAATCAGATTAGATTCGAATTCCAACCAAATGGCATTCCAACGTTTTAAATAAAATTTTGATTATATCTAAGAAGATGAGATAAAAATTTGAACCTAAGAAAATTATATGGTTTATAGCCTTTAACTGAATTTAGGGTAGATTTAGAAGAAATGGAGGCAACTTCTGGTTGAGATGGAAATATTTTTTAGGGGTAATACAATAGATATTATTTATATATATATAAATACGTTGAAATACGCCTTTCTCCCTTTCGATAAATATAATAGCAATAAAACAGATGAAGATGTCACACAACTTCGTCCTTGACCGAGTCGAGTAACCTCTGTCAGCCAGCTCAATCAGTTTGTTGTTGTCGCCAGTTGGTAGTACAAACCGCCCCCAAATCGGTGGTCATCTGGTTCTTCCATCGAAGATGACGAGGTTCTCTACCGCGTTTTCCACCTGCGGGCACCGAATCAAACACCATTCTAGCCGAAGCAATTTTTTTTATTCGCACATTATGATCAAACCAGCGAAGCTAGAGGCAATTGAAAAAGTAGATAATTAAGAATCTGCTCTACAAAACTTTTATCATGCCTCCACTGCTGTATGGTGCAGGAGCTTGAACAATTACCGATAGTGATGGGAAGACGTTAGGAGCATTCGATAGAAAAATTTTTCGGAAGGTCTATGGTCTCTTACGCGTTGGCGACGCGTATCGAATTAGATGGAATGATGAGCTGTAGAAGCTACACCGATACATTGATATAGTTAAGCGCATAAAGAAACTTAGAAATGTCACATTGGAATAAGATAATTAGGTCTGAGATAATCTAGAACCCTTATTTTCATTTCCAATAGTAACCGCCAATTAAAATCAATGTATAACTTTAAATAACTCATTTATGTTACTAGGCATAGCAAACTGAAAATTAATCTATTTGATCTGGTCTTGTTTAGCAATAAATATTGTAAGTTATGTGAACTGACATCTGACATCTGGATGCACTTATAAAACTGAATGTGATCGAATGTGACCTAACGTCTGGACTTAAAAGTAGAAAAGTAGAGATTTATTGGAGACAATACAATGGAATTAGTTTTATACTTAAATCTGGACTATTTTCATAAACATGTGAAGAAATTAGGGTTCATCTATTATTATCACAAAAATAAAACTAGCATATAATCATATATAATATATATTTATATATACTTTATTCTGTATTCTTAATAATATTGCAAGTATAATTTCGATTGAATTATAAATTCTTTGTTATTATTTGTATAAATTTTATTTTTTTCTGTACATATTGTACGAAGGATATATATATATATCTTTTTATTCAATAAGCAATATATATTAATTTTTCGTATCATTTCTTTTTTTATATTATAAAACTTGATTGAAAAATGTTTTCTTTCTTACTGTTTTAATATTTTATGTTTTTAATTCAATAGTTGGATTTTAAAAATTCGCATATGTTTATTGTATATAATATATAATAATAATTTTCTGATTTCATGTTTCGTAATTATATACATAATTTATATGGTTTTATAAATTTGTATTTATTTTCGTAAAAGTAATTTTTAAATTTAAATTAAATTTTGCATAAAAATAATTATTTTTTTTATATTTTTCTAACATAAAAATTGAAATAGCAGCCAAATATTCTCTCTAAAATTTTTATTTTTTATATATTAAAAATAACAATATAAAAAATTCACTCGAAATGTAGGCAAAATTTTGTACATAAGGTTTTAATAACAAATTTTTATCAATTTAAAATAAATATTTGATAAGTAATAAAAAAAAATTAAATTTTTATTTTATTAAAAATTATATTATCATAATTTAAATAATATAATTTAATATAAAATTAATAAATAATGTATTTTCGCATTTTTTACTCATTTAAATTTTTGTTTAATTTTATATATTTCGAAAATTTGTAATTTTATTTTTTTTATGAAGAATTGAAAAATGTAATTAATACCTCCTGTTATATAATTTTTAATATACTTAGTCAAACCCAGATTTATTGATGAATTTATAATTTTTTTTCATAATATTTCATTTTAATTTATATATGCGCGAATATTAAGTTATATACTGTAAGATATACAGTCTAAAATAATATATCATATTATATATAATATATAAGTTTACATATAATATATAAGTTTATATATAATATATAAACTTATATATAAGATTGAATAGTGACGTATCATTTTATAGTGATTAAATAAATTTAGTTTCATAATAAAATAATAATTAAAATATATAGATAATTAATTGAAACCCTTTTTATAGAGATGAATGCCAAATCTACATTTATTATCTTTACATCATATATAAGACTGTTATAATTAAGATGCTGCAATCCCATCTTTTATTTAAATCTGTCATTTTGAAAGGTCAATTAAACATATAATATGAAAGAAAAACATAATAACATCAGAATAATAATATATTGATATAATATAGTACTATTGTTGGATATAATCGCATTAAAACCTGTTTTAATACATTTCGAATAATATTGGATAATTTAATCATTAAAAAAAAAATTAATTTATGTCCAATAAATAATATTCATTTTTAAGGTTAAACTTCAATTAAGTCCAATTATATCAATATACAATATATTAACAAACTTCAGAATGTTATATTAGCTTTTTGTTAGGATACTTTTTATTTATTAATTTTTAATTTATTTGTAAATCATATATATTTTCAAATAAAATATATAAGAATATTTATTTTTTATCATATATATACATATTGTAATGAATATATATATATTCATTATATTTAATATGTCATTAAAATATACTGTATTAAACTATTTCTATAAGGATTATTAAAACCAGGAATTCTGCTTGACTAGTTACTATATAGTTTAGTAATTATTTATACTAAATGCGTTTAACCAGAGTATTTCGAATGTTGCACTTTATTTTTATTAAATTAAAATTATTATTTATTTATTTGTTTTGTTTTTATAAATTAACATTTATTCGTTATTATATTTTTGTAATAAAAACAACGCTTAAATTGTGCGTACATATTTATTAAATTGTGATATCGATCAATTACAATATATATCTATAAAAGAAAACAATGCTTAAAATATTTTATTAATAAAATAATATTTTATTTTCACATTAAAATATTAAATAAGGAAAACTTATTTTTATAGAATATTGTATTATAATATGTTATAATGAAGTCGAAATGTGATTCAAAAAATATAGTTATTAATTAATTTTTTTATTATTTTAGCTTTCAAAATAATATAAAACTAATATTAATTTTTTAATAAACAAATTGAAATTTAAATAAAATAAATAATTATCAAATACAAAAAGAAATAAAAAAATTATATTTAAATTATTATTTCAAAAAACGTAAATATTATATATTTATATTACATTAAATAATTAATATATAATTTAAATTATAAAATAAAATATGAAATTAATAATAAAAAAAAATAAAACAAAATAATATTTAAATTATTATTTCGGAAAAAGTGTAATTTATATTACATTAAATAATAATTAATAAATTATTATTATTAATATATTATTTAAATTTTTTCAATAATAATTTAAAAATATAATTTTTATAGATTAAAATACTATTGTAATATAGCATAAAATTAAAGATTTTTTTATAATAATAATTATAAAAATAAGAATTGTTATTATAAGTAATAATATAATTATATAGTTTATAATATTATTTTTAATTTAAAGTAACATTAATTAAAATTTATTTTAAATAATTAAAATTTTTTTATTAAAATAAATTTCAATAAAAAATTAAGTCTATTAATAAAGAAGTTGTAACTTAAATTAAAATATTAAATAAAATTTATATATTTATTATTATCTAATATAAATTAATATTAATTTAATCTTTTTTAAATAACAAATTGTAAAATAAAAAATATCATTTTATTGTTGAATATTTATAATTGTGTAATATACAATTATATATATGTAATGTACAATATTTATTCTGTATTATAAAAAGACAATTAAAAATATAATGCAATTCTTTTTAATTCAAGAATTAATTATATTTAAAACCTAATATTTCGCTGCATATTTTGCCATCAGAGAAGTGCGACGTCTTATACTGAATTATTGTTTTTTATTTTTATTTAAATAAATTTTTATTTTAAAACAATGGAGTTTTTATTCCATATTTTTATTATTCCATATTATATTATATTTTAATTAAATATAATATATTTTAATAAATAATCTGATTTGAAAAATGATTTCGCCATTTTAATACAAAACTTTCCCCTTCTGCTCTCTTAATAATGAATTTTAATAAATAAAAATATATTATTAAAATATTTTAAACATTTTTAAAATTTTGAGATGTAATAATTATATAGCCATTATATTTTATACTTGTTAAATATATATAATTATTAACGTAACATTGAAAAGTAATTAACATTATTAAATAAATAATATTTTTAAGTAACTAACATCATTTAATAAGTAACAATATTTAATAATTAATACGCAAGTATAAAACAGTAATTAAATTTTGGTCAAACTATTAAAATCGAAGAATTTCATTAAAAAATAAATCTGTCAAATAGTATTTTTATAATAAATATTAATATTTATAAAAAAGCTCAAAATAAAAAATTTATTATAAATAAATCTTGCATTGATTGAAAGTTTGATCTTTTAATAAAATA